GATATGAACTGCTATGCAAATTGGAGATGTTTATCGTTTCATGATAGCTTTCATTTGAAAGTTCATGGTACATATATCTTATTATCCAAGCCCAAGGGCCGTACTGGGAGAATATCGGCCTGAGGTCTTGACAGTACAGACCGAGCGCAGTGAGGTCCGTACAAAAAAGACCGAGGGCCGATATTCTTCCAGTACGGTCCCGAGCAAGCTTGGTTAATAAGAGATTTATTATACGACTGAAGTTCAAAGGGACACAAGTGCGGTATCATTCGGGACCATTCAGGACAGTGCCCGGTCCAATACTTAGAGAATATTGGACTGGCAATAGAGCATTTTGATTGGTTCATTTTAGTTGTTGGCCCTCTGACTGCCCGAGTCATGTAATAACAATCAAATATCAAGCAAGAGATAAAAACAATGATTAATCTTAGACAAATGTTCTAGAGTGCATGAAGTGATCTAAAGGACATGCTTGTTGCTGTCACAGAAAACAGTTTTTTTTTTTCAGTATTACAGTAGCCTGAACAATCAATCCCTACAGTAAACTCTTTTCTCTTGGTTTAAACCTTTCACTGAATGTTGTTGTACGCCAGATGCAATCAATCCTCAAGTTATTAAAGAGATATAGGGATACTGTACTGAAACAAGGTTTTAAAGTTTTTTTACAATGAAACTTTATAGAACTGACCGAAATGACATCTGCCTGTTACTACTTCAGAATGATCAACATCAATAAATCAGTCACATTACACAATGAATGTAAACCTTGCCAAAATAACACACTTTGAACTGTTGAATTTGGAGAATTCACCTCTAACAGAATGCACTTTTAACTGCAAAATGTGGTTGGCAAGTCCATTAGGATCTTGTCCTTTCCTTATGTACAATGCTTGATTAGCAACTCGTAAATGAAATGCACAAGTACATGGGAAAATCATTTTTTCCTGGTTTTTCATTTTTATGCATTTCATCAAAGACCTCAGGGCTGTGGTCTAGCAGGGCCCGGTGGCCCCCAGCGCCTTAATCTTGCTCTTAGGCGACTCAGGAATCTTGTGTTTTTCATATAAAGCATATGCTGGGCACCCTGGATTTCACAGTTTCAGAGCGCTAGGCTCTCTTCAATTTTTCTTAGAGCATGGCCTGAGACCTCTGTCTCCTGGATACTTTACCTTTGATTTTGTAGACCAGAGTTATAGAGGTAAAAGTACTTTGATCCTCTTTTAAATGGACAGCCATACTTTGGATAGTCCCACATCTCAGTCAGCCTAAAATCAACAGGTATCAGTTGAATCAGGTGAGCCACTGGAATGTCTCATCACAACTGGACCACACTACTTCATACATTTTCTTTTTTTTAGAATAGTTTTGGTTGATTGTTGTTGTTGTTTTGTTTTAATGAAAATTTATCCGTGGATATGGCGATTTGTTTGCATCTTAATTATAAACGTTCAACTTCTTAGCAAGGAGAAGCTTAATGAATAATGTGATGCCATAAAAAAAAAAAAAAAATCAGTAAATAAATGATACGTAGAGAACTTGTTGAAGAGACTACCTTAGGATATCCATTTGATACCCGATAAGGTATCCTATCGTACCTGTACAATGGTAAAAAAAAAATAACATATCCCTGAATTATTTGACGGCTTTTTTTTTCCATTTGTCATTCTGAATGCACGAGTGACCCTGCGCCTGCCGGTCAAGTGGAAAAAAATCACTCACCTCTTGAACATTTTTTTTCCAAATGATAGTTTCTTTTCATTGTAAACTGATAATCTTAGGAGATGAAATTTACGAAAACAACTCGGCGGAACGGCGGTTAATTATCCCTCACAAGACCTCAGTCCTTTTACAAAGCCCGCATAATTTTCGGTGATTCTAATTTTCATACCTGTTCTTGAAATTTTCTCTCGTCTCGCAAGCTGCTAAATAGGGCATCGTAATGGCATTTTGCTGTTCTACAAAAGCTTTTGTTCCTTCTGAGTCTGGGTCTTCCAACCAAACGTAAGGATCATAAATTTTCGTGCCATGGTAATCGTTTACGGCACTTTCATCCCTTTGGACAAAGGGGTAACAGATTTCGGACGCCATATTGGATGTCAACTGTGGAGGATTGGGAACGGGCGACACGGAGAAAATACATTTTGGTGACGTCACAGTGGTCAGTGGTCATCAACCACAGGCTGCTTAGCGCTTCGATGTGTTGGTCGAGTGAATTCTATGCAAATACTCATCTTTTCGCGTGGTTTTAAGTCGGACAATATCCATGATGCTTCTCCTTGTTTGTTAGATTTGATCCTTTGAATGTATTTTTAATACTAAAACAACTTCTTAACGATTAGCGTTAACGTGTGCTTTTTGCTGACTTTAGCTGTCCGTCATTACCACGAAGCGTGATCGTGGTTCTTCGGTCGCCCTCGCCTTCAGAATTGTCAAAAACAGCGATAGTTTTCCAGAGAAAGCAGAAGATTAGCTCTGTAAGATACTTTTCCAGCGAGTCTGAAGACTGGTTGGATTTTTAAGTGTACCATTAGCATGAAGCGAGACAGGTAATTGTTGTGTTGTGAAAAATAATATTTACTCTCACTTTGCCCCGACGTGCGGTGCCTTTTCATTTTGGAAATCATTCGCCTGGATGAGAATTTTGCCTTCATAGACTGTTTTTTTTTTTGTTTTGTTTTTTTTTGCCCTTCCACCTTTTTGATTTTCGGTGCCTTTAAGAACAGGTATCCGTAATCAAAATATGAAAACATTAGTTCATTTCATATACTTGCGCAGTTGTCAACAAGTTATCTCTCAGGAACAGAAATTATTATAACGCTTGTTTAGCTCGTATAATGGTGACGTTTACGAAGGGAATGGAAATCGAAAAAATTGTGATTTGTTAGCTGCGCCAAGGCTCGACAAAGATTACTTAAGGCGATTAATTGAGGGCGCCGGAAATGTAATATTTGAGACCGACCAATATATCGGTTTGTGAAGGTGTAGTCTGATCGTCCGGGTGAGTGTAGTCCTGAGAAGGACTGTTGTCGGTGGCAGTGACTGACGTTTCGACAACCTGTGCGGAAGTCATCATCAGAGTCAAGTGAGTGATTGTTGTCAGTAGAATGTTCTTATTCCAGTTCGTGTGAAATGATCGGTTGGTTTTGCCGTGATGTTATTGGCTGTAAGACTCAAGTGACGTAAGTCGTTCGTGATTGGTCTGTTTCGGTCTGTCGGTAAAGCTAGGTTGTTCTTTTTCGGTCGTTTGTGATGTTTATGTCGTGAATGAGTCGTTTGTATGGGGCGGGTAGTTGTTGACATCTGTTTAGGGGAGTCTGTTCTAAGTTAGTAAACCAGCTTTCCAGAGTCAGTCGTTGAAAATAGTCAGTGCTGTAGGTTAGGCATTGCGCAGAGTCCCAGTCAATGTTGTGGTTGGTAAGTCGATGGTGTTCAGCAATGTGATTGCTGACATCACCTTTCCTCGTCGCCCGTCTGTGTTCAGTCAGTCTTGTTGTGAGGTTTCTGCCAGTCTCACCGATGTAGGAGGCTTGGCAGTCGGAACAATTGATCTTATAAATCGTTCCCTGTCTGTTCCTCGGTTCGTCTTTGTCTTTAACGTTGGTTAGTAACTGACGTAGTGTGGTGATGGGTTTGTGGGCGACGCGGATATTGAAGGGTAGTAAGATGCGCGAGATGTTTTCAGACATGCCTTTTATGTACGGTATGGTTGCTGTAGTCGTAGGGGTTGCGGTGTCGTTTGTTTCGGTAGTGGTAGTGGGTCGGTGAGTGTTTCGTCGGATGAAGTCGTTGTTGTAGTTGTTCTTCGTAAAAACACGGTGAAGGTATTTGTTCTCGTCGGATAAGCTGTCTGTCGAGTC